CAGGAATGGCTGCAACTTCAGACTGCATTTCTGCAGCTTTGTATACCTGCATAAGAATTTCACTTGTTCTTCTCTTTGCAAACGTTTGTCCATTTCCTTTCCTACTTTTCTTTCTCTGTTCTTTAATGCTTTTCTTCTTTTGAAAATTTAAAGATGCATAGCAATAGCAATGCTCTCTTCTACAGACCTTTGATGCCATTTTCCTTCAGAATAATTTATGGCTTTGCTTATCGTGCAAAAAAAAGGGTGTTTTGCTTAATGTCACTTCTTCATGGTAAACCAGCTCAACAGAGCTGAATTAATATTGAGAGTCACAAAAGAAATGTAAGAAGGTAGCATACTTAGGAGAGTTAATATGTATGAATGAACAGCTGAAGTATAACTGACTATACACTAAACCTTCATTGTATAAACACACACTGTAGCCAGAAAAACATACAAGCCAAGGGTATGCTGCCAACTTCAAAATTCAGGTTTCTCCAGAAGTAAATCTCCATTAGCTACAGAAAACAAGTCAACTACCAGAAATGTTCAGTCAAAAGCTCTGGAATGGGGATCAGGTATTTTCCCCAGAGTGTCCTCTCATCTCTTCTTGTCTAAATTCCTGTTCCTTAACTTGAACATCACATTTTTTATGAATCCAAAACTGGCCTACTTACCTCATTGCATTTTTACAGATATTTTTCTTGAGGTGGGAGGACATATTTTCCAATAGCAAGCTTTACCTGTTTGCTGTCCTTCAGTTAACACTAGCTGTACTTCCCTCACTCACTATTTCTCTCACAGACTGTCTTACCTCTTTCTTCACTTCACAAGGTTCTTCTAGGAAAGAGTTCTGATCCTCTCACTACTTCTTAGCATCTAGAGAGCAAAGGATGATTTCCAGAAATAAACACTGTAAGTTAAGGAGAGCTTAGCTCCTCTCTTTGTTTCCTACTACCTCTTCTCTTGGTCCAGAGGATGCTTCCCTCTCCTAGGCCATCTGGTTGTGCTCGAGGCCAGCATCCTGACCTGGGGCAAAACATCCCCTGGGTCCAGACTGCTGAAAAGAAACTCCAAGGAACCACAAGGGAGATGTCCCTTCTCTCATGCAAGATCTATGATTTAGAAGAGGTTCTTATGTGTGGTGTCTGCCTTGTTTTATTGCTGCCATGTCTGTGCCACATCCAGGTCCCGACCCACAAACTTGATATCCTTGCCTGACTTTGGACCAACTTTGATAACACAAGCTTTTCTGGTGGCTGCTGAGCTAGCACTGGCAGTGGTTACTGTCACCTGACCTGACCTAATAGCTCTGTTTTTCTGCTGGATGCTGGACCTACCTTGATACAAGGGGCTTGTCTCTTGGGCTCTTGTTGAACTTAGCTACACACAGTTCTGTTTACCTTGGTCAGGTATACGGGATCTTACCCGACTTGTAATCACTCTAAGCCCCACTTTCTTTATGAAACAGCCTGCTCCTACTGTTCCTCAGAATTCCTCCTATTGTGCTTCTGTCTGCAAGGCCCATGAGGCCACTACTGAGCCTTAAAAGCCTTGAGCATCCCCACCTGCAACCCCCTCACCGACTCCACACCTGAGCCTGGAGCGCTATTCAAGTTCAGTCAGGGACTATAACTCTTTCCATTATAGAGGCTGAGTGATGCTGGTCTGCAGCTCAGCCACAATCCTGGTCTGCCTCTGAACCCTGCTGATCCAGACCTGCCCCATCATTATAAACTTGGCTGATGATTTGGGTTTTTGAAGGATTCTAGCACTCTCTCCAGACTTCCTTGCTCAGGTACTTCCAGGTGGGTCCTGGCCAGAAAGGTCCCTGCCTTGCTAGCCCTGGCATCTTTCTCAGCTCCCTGTTTCTTAGGGAGCAGCTGGCCCTTGCTGTTCTTAACAATAGCTTACTTCCCTTTCTGGTGTGTCTTCTTCTCCTCATCCTCTTTTTTTTTTTTTTTTTTTTTCCCTGAGTTTACTTGAGATATTTGTCTAAAAAAACCCCAACCAAATAAAAATGTGAAGACCATTTCTAAGGCAGCTCCACACCCTCTATGGAAACCACCTGGAAAGTTTCAAAACTTAATTTGAAGATTTATTTTAAAAATGTTATTCAACTTAATTTTTATTAATAGGCAAACAGGGCTTCTCTATTTTCTTATACCTACTGGTATTGAATCATAAGATGGATTGGGTTGGAAATGACCTTAAAGACTATCATGTACCAATACCCCTGCTATGCCCACAGTCACCTTTCACTAAACCAGGTTGCTCAGAGCTCCATCCAATCTGGCCTTAAACCCTTCCAGGGATGGCCCATCCACAACTTGTCTGAGCAGCCTGTTCAAGTGCCTCACCACCCTCACAGTAAAGAACTTTTTCCTAATACCTAAGCTGAACCTACTCACAGCTGGAAACCAGACCCCATTCCCCCTTGTCTATTGCAACATGCTCTCTTAAAAAGTCTCTCTCCATCTTTCTTGTAAGCTCCTTTCAGGTCCTGGAATCAAAATGCCTGTGAGAGAGCAGGAAAGTAAAACACACTTTACCAGCTTTGGCTGACCTGCAGTGTCTCCTGCATCATCCCATTTCTTCATGCAGCACACTGTACTTCTAGAAATCCCTTGATCATTCTGTTGTCACAGGTACTGAAATGCTCCACTTCCAAAACTGCCTACGATCAAAGATGTCAAAAAACCAAGACTGTTGAATGTAGGCTCAGTGCTTCACGCTGCTTGATTGCCTACTATGCAACTCCTACTGATTGTCTTGCATCTTCTTTTTCTTTCTTTGATATGAGAACATCACAGAAGATACTACATTAGACTGATACACACAACCATTTCTTACAAGAAAGCTCAAGGAAGATTTATGTGTGAGAGTTCCAGACATAGTTTAGAAAAATTGCATTTCCATGCATTTCCAAATTCAGTGTGCAAATCTTAAATTTGTGATAACTAAAAAGAAAAGGGTCTGTTAGAATAGACTCTTTTAGAACTTATCCCCCCAGGAAAATAGTGTCTGTCTCAGATTTACAAAGAATTGTGGGGATTGAGGATTTGTTAACAGTAGCAAAACACAATGAACAGACTTGTATGGTTTTTGTTACTATATATAGTTCTACTATTTTATGGTTTTATCTAATACATATTGTACCTTAACTGTTACTGATTTAATAGACTTTTCAAGTAATGCCTATAAGAAGGTGTTAGAATTTTTAATTACATCAGTTGAAGGATATTACAAGTCTCTTAGGAACTGAAGTAGTTTTCCACTGGTGGTACTGAAAACACTATTATTTTAGGGTTCTAAGCCAGTTATCAGTTTGCCCTTTCCTCTACCTTAGGAGAAGTTATCTGGTGATAATATATAATATACACTAGGTGATATAGGCTAATCAATTGACCCAGAAACAAATACAAATTACTGCAGGGGATTATACAGGGCATACAGCCTCAAAAGAGATTTGACTATATCTAATTTCACATTATGCTTTATCTTCCAGTTAATGATTTAGCTTTCCTTTTGAATGACATCAGTGCAAACACATTAAAGATCACTGACACCAAATAACAGGCACAAGTTTAATTGGCTCATCTACTGCTGTATCAGAATGATAAATATTAAGGCAAGCTTGTTTGACTCACAGTTTTTCTTGGCTCATCAGTCTTTTTTTTTTTTTTTTTTTTGCTTAAATATATTTTGCACAAAACTTCTACACTTCACACATCATTTAAATTATTTATACGTTATTCTGTCTGGTTACTTTACAGCTGAGATATTTATATCCCAACAAAGAAGATCTAAGGGACAAAACAAAAATTGAGACAATTGCTACAAGCTTTAAGCAAACATAAACTTTATGTGGTCAGTTTGTCATTCAGAAAGGCAAATTGGTGAGGGCTGCATTTCAGTAAAAGCTGTACTAATGGCTCGATGCAAATTAAAACCAGGTTGCATATTTAACAAATATTTGGAATATACTTTAAACATGGCAAAGTAATAGACGGAAATAAGAATCAAAAAGTTGTACAGTGGTGACTTTTAAAACGTGTCTAAATCTGTCTTTTCAGCTACATAATAAGTAGCTTGGTACTGTTTTTTACAGAATTATAAAGGAAGGCAACATGCCTTGAGAACATGCATCGTCCCGTGAGATCTTGGCTGGTTTGACTGCAATCAGATTTTCTTATCTGTAACAACATTTCCACAGGAAGAGCCTTGGATACTCTAACATGTGGCTTAAACGGTATCTTATATCCATCACAAAAGGCAATATTTTCAATTTATTGCTTTATTTCTCAGAAAGACATTTACATTTGTCTTGTTACAAACCTTAAAGATAAAATTACTAAACATCTTCTTTAAGAATATCCTTTTCACACCCTAGAAGCCACTCTGACATTATAAAACTTTATAAGTGTACAAGTTTAGCCCTTACAGGGTCAGAAGCACCTTACAAATGGAGTTGGCCCTGCACTCTAACGTGATTGTCATCAGTGAACCTTACAGCACCTTTGAGTAAAGCTGTCATACCTCCAGCAGTAAAGTCTATCATTTATAGAGTAAGAGTGAAGTGGTCTTCCTACCCTACATTCTAGCAGGGAATACCCTTCTGGGTATTCTTTCTGTACTGGTCCACTTGACAGTGGATCTGTTCTTGCAGGGTCAGTATCAGACTCCGGGTCACTGTTCTGCTCGGCCCTTATGAATGAAGGGTTAACTGGGTGATACCTCCATCGGGTTTATGGCAATAATCTCATTAGCAGCAGGAATGCCAACACGGTATTTACATTAAGGTTGTGTCAGAGTCACAACGTGTGAAAAACTCAGCCTTAGTAATATACGGAAGGGCTATTAGAACTTCACGTCGTAGTTTTCTAAAGCTAAGTAACAGCAGTATTGTTAATGATAACAGAAAAGTGGAAGACGTGGGACTCTGACAAGGAAAATTAATTTCTGAAGTGGGAGCGTTCTTTCCTTGGAGGAGTAACTGAGGAGAGCAGAGCGCTGGGATGCCCGAGTGCCCTCGGCCGCTGTTCCCCGTGGGCAGCGCACCTGGCGCGGCTCCGGCCGGCGCCGTCCTGCGCTCTGCCCGGCGCGGCAGGGACCCGCCGCCCCGCCGGCCGAGCCCCTCTGTCCCTCTGCCCCCGGTGCCGGCCGAGCCCCTCTGTCCCTCCGTCCCTCGGTGCGGGCCGAGGACGCTGCTGGCAGCCCGGGCAGCCCCGGGCGCCCTCCCGCCGGCCCCCGGGCGGTGCGGCCCCGCCTGCGGGGCGGGGCGGGCGCTG